CTTATTGCTCACCTAACACTTTTTCTGAAAATCACCTCTCGCGAATCAGCTCTCTCTTTGGCTCCGTCTCTCACAGTCTCCACTCTCTGGTCACTCAGCTCTCACTCTGTCGTCGCTCGTGGCTGAGCTCTCACGCTCTCAGTCTCTGGTGGCTCAGGTCTCACTCTCTCTTCTCTCTTCCTGTCCCAGCGGAATCCGTTAATTGCAGATCAATGCCATCGATTACATGAACCAGGTACTGCTCATCGAAATTTTCTTACGGAAAACGAAGGTTTTACGGGTTTGTATGAAAATCGTTTATGGGTTTGTTTGAAATTGGTTTAGGGTTTAGGTTTAGGGCTTTCTCTGAAATTGGTTTAGTGAGTTCTCTGAAATGGGTATAGGGTTTAGGGGTTTTTCAGAAATTGGTTGAGGGGTTTCACTGAAATTTGTTTAGGTCTGAAATGTTGTGATTCCGATGATTCATTGTTTGAAACAGTGAATGGGTTTGTTGTTTGTGGAATGATGCTTGCGTAAGATTCATTTTTAGGTATAATATTTTTTAAATATATTCGCCATTGGTCTAGGTTTAGTCAAAGAGTTTGGTTATTATATTTTTGTTTTCTTAAGTTCTATAGTAATCTATACTATTGTTTAAGAGAATGCTCTTTATCCATCATTTTTTACCAAAAAAAAAAATGTGCAACAAAAATATTTAAGACTTAGAAATAAAAAATAAAAAAGGCCCGGTCAATTAGGCCCATGGCGGAACGGCCCAGCTTGATGGTTGAGCTCGAGCCAAGCCCTTTGAAACCTCAGCTAGGCCCAAAAAATTTAAAAACCCTGTAAAGCTCAACCCGAACCCAAAAACTTTGGGTACCACCAGATGATGATCTATACCCTAAAATTAATTGAGTACACCTACTACCAAACTATTTATTGAATTCATAATTTACCCTATTATAAAATGACCCAAAATGATATATTGAATTGTGAAACAAATGTAATTTTAACAAGTACACTATACACACCATATTCAACCATAATCAAACGTAAAAGAAAAAGGGAAATAGCGGTATATACCCCCCATTTTATAATCTTAACTAAAAATACCACCCTCCCCCAAATGTTTTTACAACTAACACCTTTAAATATAAAATTATTGTACACTTATTGCTCACCTAACACTTATGCTGAAAATCACCTCTCGCGAATCAGCTCTCTCTTTGGCTCCGTCTCTCACAGTCTCCACTCTCTGGTCACTCAGCTCTCCCTCTGTCGTCGCTCGTGGCTGAGCTCTCACGCTCTCAGTCTCTGGTGGCTCAGGTCTCACTCTCTCTTCTCTCTTCCTGTCCCAGCGGAATCCGTTAATTGCAGATCAATGCCATCGATTACATGAACCAGGTACTGCTCATCGAAATTTTCTTACGGAAAACGAAGGTTTTACGGGTTTGTATGAAAATCGTTTATGGGTTTGTTTGAAATTGGTTTAGGGTTTAGGTTTAGGGCTTTCTCTGAAATTGGTTTAGTGAGTTCTCTGAAATGGGTATAGGGTTTAGGGGTTTTTCACAAATTGGTTTAGGGGTTTCACTAAAATTGGTTTAGGTCTGAAATGTTGTGATTCCGATGATTCATTGTTTGA